ATGCTGTCATGACTTATTTTACTGAAAGAAAACAAACATGGTAACTCAAAATTAAAGACTTATAATATTTTCAAAAGCTTCACTATAATGATAACAGTACAACAATTCTTAATTGTCCTACTCTAATTTGTTATCTTTTTCCATTAAAAATAAGACTTCATCTTGCTGAAATTAGAATAATAATATTAAGATAGAGACTAATGAATTATTCTCATTCATTAACTATCTCATGATCATATTTAAAAATCAAAACAACTTTTTCCAACTTGTACAACTGATTATTATTAGCAATAAAGTCTGGCTGGACGTTCACCCCTTAATCAGATATTAGAAATTCCTTTCCTGATTTTGGAGATTGATTTTGAGTATACTGTAACGAATTTACAAATTTATTTAAGATTTCTATAGGCATTGAATGATTTATGACTTTTTAAAATTTTCTAATTTAATATTACATAAGCTTAATTACGGATTTTGTCCGTACAATTAAGAATGCCAATATTTGAATTCTTACTTCATTAGTTATACTTTAGGCTTTGCTATTTTACTGCCCCACATTCTAATAAAGTCTCGATTTGTAGATATTTTTTAATTTTAAAAAATTTTATATTGGTGTATGAAAAAAATTCTAGTTACTGCTGTTAAATAAATAAATAACATTAAATATGTTTATATGAAAGTAAATTTTTCTTATAATTTTGAATTCCTCAGCTATATAAATGAAGTGAACTTTTTCTAAACAAGTATTGATCAACAACTATTAACTTATCTACAGTAAGATGGTCATATTAATTTATTTTTAATTTTGCTATTTATGGTTATTTATTTAAATTTGACTTGCTTTTATTTTACACAATCATCAAAATCTTAATAATTCGTACTATATATAGATAAACCCTATGCTTATTATTGCTTTATTTTGCTTGCATCCTATTTCGCTATAAATTATTCAGCACTTGCCATATGAGAGGAGAAATAAAAATCTATGCCTTGCTACAAGAGCGTTTGTTTTACTGTTAATATGTCAAAATATTTTTAAGAAAATTATAGGATACAGTTAGGATTCGATTGAACATATTATGCTAATTTAGCCATTAAATCTCTTATATTTTTTTCGTTTATGAAAATATTCTTATTCATTATATATATATGTATAAATTAAAAAAATTTTAAATTTAATTTTTAAAATTAAAATTAAAATTTCCTATTAGGGGTGGTTGGGTTCATAAATAAAAGGCTCTTAATTTATTTACTAATTTTATTGTTGATACAGGACTAGCGATATGTATCACTATATGAATTCAATAGTGGTTTAAAAAATTTGCATAGTATTATGATATTTTCTAAACGAGGTTTAAATAAAATGTAGACTAAGACATTAACCTAGTTGCATAATGGCATTTTTTAATGTTAATTTTTTATCTTAGTTATTATGATGCAGCATATATCCTAAAAGATCTTTTTTCTTCCAAATTTAACGTTATATCTACTCATATTTAGTTTTTATATTAAAAACCATATTTTGTATCCAAATAATCAAAATCAGAAATACTTAACTGAAGGTATGAAGACCAGGATGGTGTGGCTTTTTGTATGATCGCGGTCTCCTTTCATTTTATAAAAATTGTTTGACATTGATTTCCCTATTTAATCATATTAGCAGGAGGAACTACTGGAATGCGTCTTGTCCAGAGTCCATAGTATGCATGATAATTTGCACATTCGGACCTTCGACTTGGTACCTTCCCAGACGTTTCGTAGTCGGCATCATCAGTGAGTCTTGCCATTCTCAGCAAACCAAGCTACAACTCGTCAAAGAGCCAATTGAAGTGAATCACTTGACCAACTTTCTGTCAAGACGGTTATCACTCCTCGTTTGGTCCTGATCCCTCTATCCATTTCCTATCCTCTAGTCTGGCCCTCGGCCTATCACAATTTATGACACATTTATATTCCACAAGAGATGTGCCCTTTTGGCGTCATCATTCCTGCTGCTTGCCTTGCTCTCATCCCTTTCGAGTTGACCGATCCTGCTCTAGTCTCCACTCAGGATCTGCCTCATGGGCCCATTGGTCCATTTCCTATCTTTCTGCTTGACCCGCTTCTATTGGTTCCAGCCCCAGGGTACTTTTATTCCAGTTGCTATTTATCAGACCCTTTATGGCATGTACAAAGTCGTCTTATCTTCAGATCGCCTAGGCTCTGATTCCCATGACTGTTGATATTAGGCATTAACTTCACGCATCCTCTCCTCGATTAGGCCCGGTTACCCTGAGCAAACTGTGGACATCTGTCTCTGGTCTCCTGCAGCATGATAAGTGGATTATTAGCCCATTTGATCGCGATACCCGATTCGTATAACACAATCACTCTCCCTAGTAACATGACACGTCAGGCCCCTAAGTTGTAGTTGTTTATTCTAGCTGACTACTATCACTGGAAACGTCTTGGCTTCATTTTCGCAACCTCGTCACCCTCTTCTTCTTTGCGATCTCTTTTCCTCTGGTTTACGATAGATCCTTTATTCAGGCGTCCCTTCGTTGCTTGTCTCATTGCATTCCTGTTTTCTCCAAGTTTGATTCGGCAATAGGCAAAGTTATCATTAACTCTACCTTTTTCCAATCTACTGTTCATTATATATTTTCCCCAAGAATGCCAATGGCCTCCCTAATTTTACGATTATTTTCGCTTTCACCGAATGAGGTCCTTCAATTGATCTCGTTTCCAATCTCTGCGATGTGTTCTGCTCCTTCAGTATTCATTTTACTGCAAAGCATTTGATATTCTTTGATTGGTATGCCGATTTTTCTCTCAGTTTCGCCAATGTATTTCTGTTCGCAGACGCCGCATGATATCCAGTAAACTCTTAAGCAATACAATTTAACTACCTTTCCATGCTGCGTTGGTAGACTTGTGAAGAGTCCAGTTTATTCCTTCATGGTCACTTGAATATTCTATTTGCATAATATTGGCCGTGGTTTTTGAGCTAGTGCACTGGAAGGGAGACATATCCACTTTTGTGAGTCTTTCTCCATCTTTATCTTTCTTTCATAATCTCCATCTTGCCATCGGCTCTTCACGGCCAGCATGGTTCTTTGGATTACTTCTCTTGGATATCCATTACCGTGGAATATCCGAATCCATTTTTTCAATTCTTCATCCTAGAATTCCACGTCAGTCAATCATAGGCTTCTGATAATCATGCTCCTTAGTATGCCTATCTTTATTCTGTAGTCGTGATGAGACTCAGCATTGAGTATTATTCCAGCATAAGAATTCTTCGCGAACAATTTCCTCTTGAGTGTCCCAGTAAAGCAAATAACCCCCCCATCTAGGAAGGCCAAACGCTCCTCTTGGTCTACAGCCATTGTAGATTTGATTTTTTTTATCAACTCCTTTCATCATCTTCAGGAAATCCTCAACTTTTCTTTTCCAAAGGATTCATTAAGGTACCGCATAATAACTCTTGGTTGCAGCGGTGAAAACTTGAATTTCTCTTC